TTTTTGCTTCTATCTTCAAGGATCTCCTCCACTGACCTGCCTGCACGAACTCCATCCCCTCCATTTTCCCTCCCATCTTAGTTCCTCACCCTCTCCCCCTCTAAATTGCCTAGATGTCTTGACAACTATTAGATTTCCTTTTTCAATAGATTGGGAGGAACATTGGGGTAGTTTGACTTCTAGAGCACTTCCAAGGGTAACTTCAGACCATTGGCCTATTATGATTGGTGAGGAAGAGTTGGGAAATACAGAGCCTGCCCCGTTCAGATTTGAAAATATGTGGCTACACTACCCGGGTTTTATTAATAAAGTCAAGAATTGGTGGATAGAGAGTGATCCTATAGTAGAGTGGAAAGGGATGAAGTTCCATAAGAAGCTACAATTCTTGAAGGGTAAAATTAAGGAATGGAATAATTTAGAATTTGGGAGGTTAGAAGAAAGGAAGCAAGTTGTGATTGCACAACTGGAAGATTTCGATGTGAAGGAGGGGAGGGGTTGTATTACACAGGAGGACAAAGAACAAAGGTGGAAATTGTGAAAACAATTAGAGGATGACTTGCTCAAGGAGGAAATTAGCTGGAAACAAAAGTCGAGGTGTAAATGGTTGAAGGAGGGGGATAGGAATACTAAATTCTTTCATGTTTTGGCAAGTGGGAAAAGAAAGAAAAATTTTATCTCAAGTTTGGAAGTGGAGAGGATCACTTTATGTAATCAGGGTGAGATTGCTAGGGCGTTTGCAAACCATTTCAGATCTATCTATAGAAAACATTTAAGTAATAGGGTGTTGATTGAGGATATGGAATGGCAAAACCTAAGTTTAGAAGATAGGGAATGGTTAGAGAGAAATTTTGAGGTGGAGGAAGTAAATGAAGCAGTATTTTCTATGGATAGGTCAAAGGCTCCAGGCCCAGATGGTTTTATGATGGCATTTTATCAAGACTGTTGGGAGATTTTGAAAGAAGATTTAATGCCGGTCTTTGATGAGTTCCACAGAAGAGGAGTGATTAATCCAGGGTTGAATTCCACATTCATTGCTTTGGTTCCCAAGAAGAGAGAAGCAACACATCCAAGGGATTATAGACCAATCAGTCTAGTAAATAGTTTGTATAAGATCATTCCGAAGGTTTTGTCCCTTAGGATTAGACAAGTACTCAATACCATTATATCAAATAACCAAGGGGCTTTTGTGAGGGGAAGGCAAATAATCGATCAAATACTTATAGCAAATGAGAGTGTGGAGGACTTTAAGAAATCAAGGAAAAAGGGTGTTGTTTGTAAGCTAGATTTGGAAAAAGCTTATGATTTGGTAGACTGGTCCTTTCTGCTGGAGGTGATGATGAACTTTGGGTTCAGAGATAGATGGTGCAGGTGGGTTTTGAGGTGTATTAGGACTTGCCACTACTCTATTTTGGTGAATGGAACGGTGGTGGACTTCTTCCCAGCTTTGAGGGGAATAAGACAAGGAGACCCCCTTTCTCCTTTCTTGTTCACCTTGGTTGATGATGTCTTAGGGAGATTGATCTCTAGGACAAATTCTAGAAGTCTAACCAAAGGGTGGAGAGTAGGTAGGGAGAACATACCACTCGCACATTTGCAGTTTGCAAATGATACGATTTTCTTCCATGAAGGAGGGGACATGAATTGGATTAGGAATTTGAAACTTACAATACAACTCTTTGAGCAAATGTCGAATCTGAAGTAAACTTTGATAAAAGTTGTGTTGTAGGTGTGAATATGGGGGAAACTGAGATCCTTGCGTGTGCAAACATTTTGGATTGTTAAGTGTGGAATTGGCCTCTAATTTACCTTGGTCTTCCCCTAGGTGATAATCCTCAAAAAGGAAGTTTTTGGACTCCAGTTGTGGAGAGGTTTGAAAAGAGACTTGCATCTTGGAAGAAAAACTATCTATCTCTTGGAGGAAGAATCACCTTAATTAGGTCTACTCTAGCTAACTTGCCCATTTATTACCTTTCAGTTTTTAAGGTGCCTGCAGGGGTGGCTAGCAAGTTGGAAAAGCTAATGAGAGATTTCCTGTGGGAGCCAAGAGAGGAGGAAAAGGACCATAGGGTTAAATGAGAGAGGGTGTGTAGGAGTAAGCAAGAGGGAGGGCTAGGCATTGGGAACATAAGGAAGAGGAACTTGGCTTTACTAGGGAAATGGTTGTGGAGATTTTCATTGGAGAAGGAAAAACTGTGGGCTAAGATAATTTGTAGTATTCACAAGCTTGCAGAGAATGGTTGGGACTCTAGGATTCTAGCTATGTCTACAAGAGTATCACCTTGGAAATCAATCCAAGCTATTTTGCCTCTGTTTTCTCCTTGGATCATGTATGACTTGCACTCGGATAACCTCATTATGTTTTGGGAACATGTTTGAGTTGGGGAGTCTCCTTTGAAAGACCAATTTCTGACCCTTTTTGCAATATCCACCTTCAAAAATGAACCAATTGCCACATTCCTTGTTCCTTTAAATTCAAATTCTGGGTTTGGTTGGAATTTGGGTTTGAGAAGAGCACTCAGGGATACAAAATTGGATAGTACCTCAACTCTCTTGTCCATTCTTGATGGGGTTTTCTTGGAGCCTACAAAAACAAATAGTAGGATTTGGACTTTGTCTCCTTCCGGATCCTTTACTTGTGCCTCCTTTTTTAAAGCCCTAATACAACCGGAAATTCCTATTGGCTTGTCATTCCCTGTCAAGGAAGTGTGGTGTCAACCTATACCTCCGAGGGTTGGGAGTTTCTGTTGGGAAGCTTTCCTAAAAAGAGTTAACACAGGTGATTTACTTCAAAGAAAAAGACCCAATAGCCATTTATCTCCACACTGGTGTGTTCTGCAAAACTACTGGTGAGTCTGGTTACCACTTACTAATATCCTGTGTTTTGGCAAAAAGTATTTGGGAATGGTTTACTTCTTTGTTTGGGTGCAGGTGGATCTCCCCAACAAATGTGCAAAGCTTGTTTTCCTCTTCTTCTCTTGACTGCCCAACAAAAAGATCAAGAATCATGTGGAGATGTGTGAGAGCTGTTGTTTGTTGGACAATATGGGAAGAAAGAAATTCAATGATCTTTTCAGAAAAGGAGAGAGGTTTGGAAACTATGCTAAAAGTGATTCATATAAGAGTAATACACTGGCTGAAAACACTAGATGAGTTCACAGATTTTTCAACAGATGATATGTTAAGAAAATGGAAAGAAATTGCTTAGGTCAGTCTCAATTAAGAAAACCTTGAATCTCACATGGAACACTCCACCTCCTGGTTTTATCAAACTGAATTTTGATGGCAGTAGCATGGGGAATCCAGGGCTTTCAAGTATTGGGGGGTGTTAAGAGATGAGAAAGGTAATGAAATAGCTATGTTCTCTGGCCCAATTGGAGTGGGAGACTCTTTAAGGGATGAGGTGTTAGTAGCTTTAGAAGGGGTACAAAGGGCTAAAGATCTAAATGTCAAGAAATTGATTATAGAGGGAGATTCTGTGATCGTAGTGGACTGGCTAAAAGAAGACACTTCTAGATGTGGAGCTATAGTAATGAAAAGAGAAAGTTCAAATGGCTGATCAAGAATATGGAAGTTCAGTGTACTTGGGTAAAGAGAAATGCGAACTCCTTTGCTGATGGATTAGCTAGGCAAGGGGTTAATAGGGTGTATAGGTTATGGGCTCAGTTATAATTGTTGTTTTTATCAGTTTGGGTGCATTCCCAACTTCTGGGGAGTTAAGATACCTTAGCTCCATTTCTTTGTAAGTTTACTACTATTTAATGAAATCTGTTGTTATTAATAAAAAAAAAAAGGTATTTAAGGGAGAGAAGAGAGCGGTTTGGGGAATTCAGTACCCACTCCCTGAAAACATCCCCATTAAACCATGGTTGACATTTTTTTGAAGAAATTGTTTTCCATGAACTTTACAGTCCTTCAGCCCTTCCTTGTGTTCTAGTCTTGTTTGTTGATTAAGTAAATCTAATTTGTTTCCTAGAAGCCTAGATAGATCTCAAACTGGGTTGTGTTTGCAACTAAGGAGAGGGGTGCGTAACCCCTTCCCTCCCCTTATTCAAAGAACTCTTGAAATTCTTTTTCTAGGCCAGTGAGAGTGGAGTCCCTATTTGTCTAAAAATCTGAACCGTTCAACCTGAAAAGAGGACCCATTTCCTCTTAAACAAAAATGGGTGGTGACTCTATTGGGCCGACCATGAGCGTTTTGGAGCTCACACTAGCACTATTCACTCCTAAAAGAAAATCTTTCTTTTCTTTTCTCTCATTTTTCTCCACAACCAAACACAATGTAAAGATACTTGTAATGCGGAGTTTCCCGGTTTTGTGGGGACATATAGTTTAAAATTTAGTATATTCAAACACACAAAAATTGAAGACTGGTTAACAACATGCAAGTTGTGCATTGGAAATAGTATAAACCTCCAACTGCCAGGGAGCACAAAGTGACTCAATGACCCTTCATTTCTCATAAAAATACTCAGACAATTGCCACATGAGGTACAGAAACTTATTCCAAAGCACAGAATGCAGTACCTCCACTTGAACATTCTTGCATCTCCAACAGAGAGATTTTAAGGCTTCTGTGATCTTTTCCCCGCTAGCTTTCAGACGGGATAAAATTTTCGCTGATGAATGTGCAATAGCATCTGGCTTAGCTTCCTGAAAATCTTCTATTGCCACAACAGTCTGTAGGGAGGTCAAATGGAAAATAATGTTCACTGTAGTTTTGGAGATTGAATACATTACATACAAAGACATGTCCAATAAATGTAAGTCAGCAAAGAATTTATGATATGTAAAATAGTTAAAATACATACAAATGAATTAAAAACAACAAAAAAAGATAGGCTTCATCATTGATATCTAGACTGGAAGGAAAAAAAAAATAGTTCCACAAAGTAGAAATAGCAACAATTGGGAACAAGAAATAACTTTTTTGTAACAAGATAATTTTAAGAAGCCTGTCTTTTGAATTAGAATATCAATCTATCAGTTATTGCACAGTCTCTCTGAACCATAGCTTGATGAATCAACTAATAATAAAGGGGATTTTTTTTTCTTTTGACAAGTGGCAAAAAAGTAAATGCCAAATCCAATCCAAACCTCAGAAAAACCTGGATAGCCGGAACAAACATTGGGTAATGGCCCTTAAGTAGGGGTGTCAACGGTATTCGAAAATCTGATTTTGAATTCAAGATTCAACATAATCAAATTAAATTTGGGTATGACCTAATATGGTTTGATAAATATCCGAATTCGACCAATCATTTAATTCTTATATATAATATATAATATATAAAATATTTAAATATTTTATATAATTTCTATATAATATTTAAGTTATGTAAATAATTTATATATTTATATACATTATATAGATAAAATATTTATTTTATATATTTATTAATTACCTAAAATAATTAACTGGTCAAATTCGAATCGAATATTTAATCGAATTCGAATTCAAACATTGATTTTCAATATCCATCGGGTGTCGAATCGAATTTTCTAATCGGATTCAGATTCGACCCGTTTACACCCCTACCCTTAAGATTGGATTACCAATAGAAGATACAAAATACATTGTCTAATTTACCATGCATGCTTTCAAAAAAGATGGCCTGATGTCGTAAGTAGTTAACAAAAGCAATTAACTACTGTCAAAAAGAAACTACAAAGCTCAGAACATGCCTGGTTTCCATGTGCCAAAATCAGCTGAATCTTAACAATCTCCAATTTGTAAAACGAAGTCCTAGTTCTTAATCTTTCATTTTTGTCCAATTCCTCTGCCACTGGATTATCTTCAGATGTTGACTCACCATTAGCCATGCCAATATCTTCCAGTTTATTTTCTGCATTTTCCTCAACCTGATTATTTGAGTTATCATTTCTGCGCTCATGGCCTGGTATATACTTTTGGATGAAAGAACTCTCTTCATTAAAGGCAGGTCTTAGAAGGCCTTGTATAGCAAGACCAGCCGGAGGCTGTTCCATCCAGTCCACAGGAAGATCAGATGCAACCTAAACAAGGAAACACAAATTTAGGGTGACAGCAAGAACCATTGCAAGCAGTAGACAAAAGAAGAAGAAAAATAAAATGAAGAGTCATAATTTTTTACAAGGATATTTCTAGGTTGTTTTTGGTACTGTTGGTGTTTAAACCTGCAATGCTTTGAGTTGAAACAGGCCGCATTTGGAAGTGCATAAACACTGAACCAAATTGAATTTGCACTCCAATTCAGTTTTGCAGGCATTTGATAAGAATACGTTTTTGTACTGAAAATGACAGCAATTTTGTTTTTTTTTCCTGCATGTTAACATTCAAAATGGGAGGAAACTTTGCTTCCAAAAAATGGATGCAAAGTTGGTCAATGCAAAAAAGGTAGATCACAGTCTAGGAATTTGTGTTTGTACCCATAACAACCAAATACATTTAGTGAGAACGCAAAACCAAACCAATTTGCATTTTCATGAAGCACATAATTTGCATTTGCACTCTTACCGAACGCAGCCTTAAAACACAAGCACTATTGTTTGTACTTGAACCCTACTTTGTAAGAAATGCATGTTTTTCATCCATGTCAGCATCACATCAGTGCCACATCAGTCAGGGTGTTGAGACTTTGCTTCCTAGGAAACATCAAATTGATGTTTCTTGAAACACCCTTAGCATGGATTTCCATGTGAAGTGTTTTATGGGCATTTTAACTCAAAGCATCTCCAATCAAACAGAAAACTGACTGTTAACTCAAAGTGTCTGTGTAGCACTGATATGGCAGCATATTTATACTTCAAGCGCCAATGGTACCAAACAGCCCCTTAGATGTAAGTGTAAGGGGATGAACTTATATGTTGTGGATATGATAGTACAGAATAACCACAGACACATCACTGTGGTGACATCATCACAGGATAACTGTGGCCACCAACAATAGTTGACTGCAGACATCTCCTCCATTCACAGAAAAAACCACTGTCTTTAGATGCCAGACACAGACAGATGCCAGGCCACGGCAAAGCAAGCTGCTGATCAGCGGCACAAAAGCGAGGCCTGCAATCAACAAAAGCACCATACAGGCATGCGAGACATTCTGCATACGACATGTGGTAAGACAATAGAAGTGAAGGCCGTTACAGTCTGTGCAGGCTTCTAACTGGTCACCCACCATAGAATCTAACGTGTGTCCCTATCAAATCAGCCTAGATGTACAAGTTAACTGCCTTGAAAATATTTTCTGGAGTTCCTCATTCCATGCACAAATGATCCCTCTTCCTCTTCTATAAATAGCAGTCCCCTTGATGGAGGAGGGACAGACTCTCTCTTTCCCATTAATTCCTCCCTCCATTAGCCTTTGTTTACCTCCATTAGGGACTGAGCCCTAATCTATGTCTCCTTCTCAACTTCAAAGCCTAGACCACCACCACCACTGCCTTAGGATAAGATGATAGGATACTAAAAATATTAATCAATGTTACCATACTCGGTTAACTAACCTCAGCCAGCCTTTTAGCAAAATACATTGGATGAGAAGAACGCATTGTCTCTAATTTTGCCCAGTCACCAAGTGTCTCATCAGAATCCGATTCATCTTCCTCATCTTCAAGAATTGCAACCCAATCCTATGAAAATTAAGTAGAAAAAAAAAAGAAAAGAGAATGAAAACAAGGAAAATCTTAAATAGTAGAGTTGTTCCATAAATAGAAAATCCAAAATGATACCACAAAATCACAATTATAACCACACCTTTTCATGGTCATCGTTCTCATCTTCATCTTCATCTTCATCCTCATCAATATCATCACTATCTTCCTCTTCTTCAGCGATTTCTTCAATGCCAAAGTCAATATCAGATGCCATCAGTTCCATCTCCCTAAGCATTTCCATAGTATCCAGGCCTATAATCACTTGCTGCATTCAATATCATGATTGCCAGTGAGACATTTTGAGAATCGGTCAACTCATAAACAGTAGTAAGATCAGAATCCAGAAGTTTATACCACATAGTTATTCTCAGAAGTTAGAGTTTGCAGAATGTCTTGATCTTCATTCACCTGGAAATAAAGATCTGGAACATGCCCGTATCATTTAAAAGTTCGATAAGGAAACCGAGGATATCTATGCCAAAATACGCCATGACGAAACTTATCTATTAAGAAGCATGATTAATCCTACTTACTCCCATGTTCATCAGTTACATAAGGCAACTCGGGCCAGAAGATGTTCTCGTGAACTTCATCATTAACCGATAAAGAAAACATGAGAGTTGCTTTGCTGTTTACCTACACAAGGAGGAACCTCCATGATGGACTAAGAACTATATGAGCCAATCATGATTATGTTTCAAATAGAGTAACTAGAGTTATCAATACAATGTGTATCTAGTGAAAGCCTTTTTTAGTAACATGCCAATAAAGTTTTTTTCTGGATACAGAGAGCTTGTAGTACCTCAATTATGGTTCTAGCAGTTTCAGCGGCAGTGAGACTTGCTTCTTCACTGTCGTCCTGCAACGTAGGCTCCGCTATCTCCTCAAACGGATGGTAACGAGGCTTCCCATTCCGATCCGGATGAGCAGAGGCCGAGCCTGCGTGGTTTGCTGCTGCCCGAACTCTGGTTTTCAAGATACTGTTTCTTGTTGGGAGAGAACAACCATCAATGAGCCTTGGAACTCTGTTCCTGTAAATCAATTTCACAGCTTGTGAGCTCCAACTGAAGCACGACCACCGGAAGCAGTTCCAGAAAAGTACCAGGGTACATCAAGACTGCCGCCGTAAGACAGACGACGGGAAGTAATGTGGACGCCGACGGGGTCTTCGGAGCTCCATATGGGACGATAATCTAAGACCAAGAAATGTTCAAAATAAGAAAATTAGATATACAAAAGGAGAGGTGGATTTTGAGGATAAATGAATAAAAATTACAGAAATAATCACTTGCTATGCCGCCAGCGGAGCAACAACCGCCGGTTGTGGTGACGCGAAACCCCATCGCCACGGATGATTCGATCATCATCATTTATCCGGTCTCTCTGTAATCTGTGACGGTGGCGCTTTCTTTCTTCCACTAAACAAGATGAGAGGTGAGGAGGTTGGGTAAATTACAAAGACCCCCTGTATTATGGGGTCTGTGACAAAGACCCCTGTACTTTATTTTGAGATAAAAACCCCTTTATACTATGACCGTAAGAAAAACCCCCTTCTGTTAGTTTTCGGTTGAAATCCACCGTTTTAATTCCTATACTACCATTATAATAAATATTCAAACAATTGGGAGAAAAGCACTGTTCATCTTCCCCGAACAGCACCCCAATTCCTGCTTCTAGCCTTAGCCGCCCAGAAAACCACAGATCCAGAAGATCTCTTCAAGCTCTCCCTCCAAGTTGCCCTTACCGAGCTCTGCGAGAAGTTGTTATCGGCTTCCAAGATCAGCGACCTCAGGACATGGCTCAGCGCGGCAATCACGAACGAGCAGTCCTGCTTGGACGGGCTACAAGAGTTGAACAGCACCACCGCTGCAACAGTGCTTGAAGAGTTGAGGGTAGCAATGAAGAACTCAACCGAGTTTACAAGTAAACCTGGTGGTGATAGATTAGGTCGTTCGGGTCAACAGATTAGCCGAGCGGAGCGGCGCTCAGAATGATTCTTTATGCATTTGATGCTCAGAATGCCGCATTTGATGACTGCAATCAGTATGCCGTATTTGATGCTCAGAATGATTCTTTATTTAAAGTGGCTTCAATTTCATTTGCACTGTGTCTGTTGACTGATAGAGTGCTCTTCTGATCTCTAATGATCACGCCATACCCGACTGATTCATGGATGAGTCTCAGAGAAAAACATGGTTTCTTTGGATTACTCGGTCAGGGACCAGCCCTTCAAGTCCTTGAACTTTTAATATAGAAAATCACTATTACTGGGCCTCAAAACCGACTACCACCATCACCAATTTTTAAAAGCTGGATTGCATGTGGGCCTTTAGCTTTACTCGACCCATCATACAACAATGAACAATGTATGTATGACCAATCGGATCCACAGAACCGTTTCCTGCAGCAGTCTCCGGTCACCAGGGTGCATGGACGAGATAGAGTCTTCAAACTGGGTTAGGCAATCACGCAGCGTGACCACGAGAAGAGGATCGCCGTTGACCTTGGGGATAAGCTTTGTGGGTAAAGAAGCGAACTTTAAGAACACGATAAGGGCAACTTGGAGGGAGAGCTTGAAGAGCTCTTCTGGATCTGTGGTTTTCTGGGCGGTCAGTGAAGAATGGAGAGCCTGAGAATCAAGATGAATAATGCTTTTTTTCCAGTTGTTGTAACGGAAAAATCTACAATTTTAACGAAAAACTAACGGAAAGAAGTCTTTGTCTCACGGTCATAGTAAAGGAGGTCTTTGTCGCAAAACAAAGTACAAGAGATCTTTATGACAGATCATATAGTAGGGAGGGGTCTTTGTAATTTATTTTTTTTATTTGTTTTTTGTTTTGGGAGGGATTAGATACATACAATGGGGGGAGGTAAGTGATGGGCTATCAAATCATGTTATTTATTCTTTATGGGCTTTGGTCAATCCGGCCCATTTGCTAGTCCTGGTGGTTCGGTGAAAAGTCGGACGACTCAAACAAATGTTTGAGGGTGGAGTCGCTTCGGCTCCTTTTGGTTTGTGGGAAAACAAGGTATCCCCAACGCAGATGAATTAGAAGACCAATCCATCGATAGAGAGCCTTGCGCACGGGCCCAAACAGAAAGAAAAATGAAGTCCAGCAAGATGGAAAACATACCCGAACAACGCGACGGTCTTTTTGGTGGATGAAGCAATAAGAGCATGCATAGATATAGCATTCCCCATGCAATCTAAGCAATACAGGTTGCACTCGCTCTGGTTGGAATCTCCGTGGATTAAACAGGGGATGAAGTAGCTGGCCTTCAACATGGGTTTCAACCACGGCGGACCCAAATCGTCGTCGTCTATTGGAACCATTGGACTTACCTGAGAGAGCATACAATACCCAAAATCCATCAAAACTCAAAACGAGAGCCCCAGAGAATGAATAAGAAGAATAAGAACCGAATATCCAACAGCGCACCATGACTTTCTTTTGCTTGGTCTTTACAACCCCGATAGCGTGTTGTTGATTCTCGATATCAGCTTGTCCGGTTATAGAAGAACAGAGTAGAAAACCCTAGTAACCAAAGTTGGGGGGAAAAGTAAGCCACATTAAAAAGGAAAGGAGATTGGGAGAAAGGAAGTGGAAAAGCAGCAACTTTCAGTCTATCAATTGTTGGGCTGTAGCAGCAACATGCAAATACATTAAAATTGATTATGGCTAGAAATTATTATTATACCTATTTACCTACACAATCAAACGCAGCCGAGCATGCAAGTGGCGGCCTATCAAATTAATCCTACAAGTGACGGGCTATCAGATTAATCAAACACTGACGAAAAGACAGATTAACCCTCGAGCATGCAAGTGACGGGTTAATCCTAGTCGAGCAGTGACAGTAGGTTATCAGATCAAAGAGGCAGCATGTATTGCACGTGTAATACATGTTGGCCAGGGTTGTCGTTCGTCGTTCGTCGTTCGTTCGTTCTCAAAGCATGTAAGGTAATTTTCCTTCGTCGTTCATTCTCCCATACAAGGATCATTAGACAGAAAACAGTGCTGTCAGGATCGTCGAAGGGCAAAATAGAGAGGGCAAATCCTCGAAGGTCGCCGGAAATGGCCAGGGTCGCCGTTCGTCATTTGTTCGTTCTTCAGAGCATGCAAGATAGCTTTCCTTCGTCGTTTGTTCTCACATGCAAGGATTTTCAGAGGGCAAAACAAAGAGGGCAAATCCTCAAAGGTCATCGGAAATGACAGGGAAACTCGAAGGTCGCCGTTCTCCAGCAACTTTTGCCATCCAAGAGAGTCTAGCAAAAACGAAATCGAGGAAGGTCGTCGGAGGGCAAAGGAAGCATTTTACATGTATAAAATGCTTGCATATGAGGTGCGCTCTATTTTATATGTACAAAATATTTGCACATGAGACCCCTAATCTACTCGCACGAGTAGATTCCATTTTCTAAATATAGATAGATAGATAGAGAGAGAGAGATTTGGATGAAATGGGATGGGATGAGAAAGTGTGCAAATTTTATTTTTCACCATTTGGTTGTATAAGAGAAAATAATAGGAATATTTATTTTTATATTGTTGTTTTGTGGGAAAATAATTAGAGGTCGATATGAATTTTTTATAATCTTCTATGTTTTTCCCCTTAGTTTGCTTTTCATATTTTAAGATTTTCATGCTTGTAGACTCTTTTTCTCTCTATTTATTTACATAGTCATCTTTGCCATATGCCAAAGAAAAAAATTGACTATATGTAATTTACATAGCCTGACTTGGCCTTATTAGTCATCTTTCTCTCTCTCTCATTAATATCTTTGCTTCAGGGTTAAGGTTTTAGTTAGCACGAGCCCCTTGTTGCATGGGCTGATGGGCATGTCCAACTTTATATGTAATTAAAAGAGAATAAAACTGGTATGGCAGTTTCAAGATGCTACCAAGTAACTACAGGGCCGTTTGGTAAGTCCTTTTAGGAAGATTTTCTAATAGCTCTGATGGTCAAAAGATGCATTGAATTTTAACATTAAGATCGGAGCAATCTGAAGCCCATTTGGTTTAAGGCATCTTTTCGAGCAAAGACAAATAGGAAAAAAATGCAAAAGCTCCATTTAGAGCTTTCCAAAAATTGCATGTTTTTGGCTTCTCATATCTTTTTAGCGTATCGGCTTTTGGCGGTTAAATCTACCGTAAATCAAATGGGAAAAGACCAAATCGTAATCTGTCAAACTTATAAATAGCCGACAAACCACATGAAAAGACACACCAAACAGAACCTATATAGACTTGACCTTTCTATTCACCAATTTTATGGCAGATAAATTTATAGATGTAATTTCAATTTCTTGCATAAAAGATATACATCCATGTCCATACTTTTCGCATGTTATTTAGCTTTTTAGATTGTTGGATGACTGCAGGGTGGTTGATCAGTTTTCAGGTCTAAAAACGTCCAACAAATTGTGAGTTGAAAAGTAGAAGAGCAATCTAGACCTAAACATATCCAGTACTTATGATCCCCCATCCCCCATTGTCATTTTAATTTGTTTAACTCGAAGTTCTGAATGAAAATTGTAGACAATTTATTTATTTCATGAACAGGAGTTTTTGAGAAATGACTCATAAACATGGTGAAACAACATGGTTTTATCCCTGTTCTTCATAAAACCAACTCCTGTTGTCAATTACACTAGAATTATTTAAAAATTCATGTTTTCGATGTCAATTTGCCATATTTGCAATGTACTATACTATTCTTTTGATTTTCAACCACAAAATACAGTGAATGAGATAATAGCTTCCTGACTTGGGTGAACTGACTAAGTAAAACTAACTTAATTTTACTATTTAGGAATAGCTTTCCTATGGACTATAATCGCTCAAGTTAAGACATGCAAATGCTTTGTCAACCAGTGGTTAGGGAAAATATATCTCTCAAGCTCAAAATGGGCTTGGCTACAGAAGTCATCATATGTAAACACACAAGAATTGATGCTTGACAGAATTTGGTTACATGATCAAATTACCTAATGCCAACTTAATAGAATTTATCATGTAATGGATCTACAAAATACAATTCATTCTTTCTATTTCTTTGTATTTAAATCAAAACTTGCCTGATAAGAAATATTTTCAAGCGTAGATCTTGTACAATGAAGAATTGTCAAAAAAAAAAGTAACATTGGATAAACCACTCGCAATAAAATACATATAGAAAGATTAATGGTTCAAGTAATTGATGTGAGGAAACTTAAGTCATGTTTGGGAGTGCTTAAAAATATGCACTTATTCAAAATAAGTGCTTATTTGGGCCAGGACCACACCATTAAGCACTTATTGGTGTTTGGGAAGTAAGCCCGAAATAAGTGCTTATTTTAAAGGTAAAATTCCACTTCAGTACCCTGAATTTTGGGGGTAGTGTCAAGTTAGTACCCGAACTTTCAAACGTGTCATTGCAATACCTAAACTTTCAAAAAGTGTCAAGTTGGTCCCTGATCGCCAGTTATATGTTGAAAATGCCAAAACTACCCTTTAAAAGAAGACACTGTTCATTGTCTTCCACCTTGAGACTGAACCGGTTATCTTCAAAGAAAAATAGAGAAAAAAATGAAATATGATAGAGGGAATTGAAACAATAACTGAAAGCAAAGAAATAACTAGACAATAATGTGTTTCAGATCTAAAGGTATAAGGCAATGACTTCATTAGTCTAGAATCCCAAACACCTCAACCAGTTCAGTCTCAAGGTAGAAGACAATGAACAGTGTCTTCTTTTGAAGGGTAGTTTTGACATTTGCAACAAATTACTAACAGACGGTTAACGGTAGGGACCAACTTGGCACTTTTTGACAGTTTAGGTACTGCAGTGACACGTTTGAAAGTTCGAATACTAAATTGACACAATCCCCAAAGTTCACGGTACTAAAGTGGAATTTTCCATATTTTAAAAATAAGGCTTATTTTTTAAGCCCAAACTTCCAACTTTCTTTTAAGTGCTTATACAATAAGCACTTGTTCAATTTTTTTCTTACAAAATTATCCCTAGTTGAATTTTAAAATACCACTCATAAAACTATCCCTAGTTGAATTTTATAAAAGTACATTTGTAAAAGTGCTTTCAAAAAGTACTTCTATAAAAGTGCTTTTATAAAAGTACTTCCATAAAAGTGCTTTCGTAAAAGTGATTTAATTAAAGTGCTTTTATAAAAGTACTTTTATGAAAGTGCTTTCATAAAAGTACTTTTGTAAAAATGCTTTTGTAAAAGTGTTTTCATAAGAAAGTACTTTTATAAAAGTGCTTTTCATAAAATTTGAAAGAAAATGAATGACAAATTAGTCATAAATGCTTATTTAAGTGCTTATTGGAGAAAAAGACTATCAAACGCCCAATATAAAATAAGTGCTTATTTTTTAAAATTTAGCACTTGAAAAAGCTGGGTGCCAAATGCAAATAAGCGCTTATTTGAATAAGCACATGTTTTAAGCACTTATTTTTAATATAAGCACTCCCAAACATGGCCTTAATTACCCAATCAATTTTCTTGCTTTCATTTAAATTCTACAGATGCAACTCTGATCAATCTCTATCCATTATTTTCTTCTAGGAACCTATCTCCACAAACTTACCACCCATCTCGGCATGCTCAACCCTCTGAATAGAGGATTTTTCACTAGTTGAAACATGAATCCTCTTTCACTACTATGCACCAACCATATAATTTGCAACACACCCACAAACCTAGATTTGTTCAACAATCTAACAAAAGGCATTCTCACAGCTAAACTTGATTTTCTCTAAATTAGCGCAAGATGGTTTGTAGCAGAGCCAATTTTCGTTGCAGTAACCAGACTAGTTGATTTAGATCAAATGTAACGAGTACCAACGAACAAACTAAACTACTTGCTACTAGTCGTCACCCAAAATCCTTAGCAATAGCACTCATTGAACTAATTGTTTCTCTCCCAGAACAAACACCAACCTGAACACTGGATACATTTTATTCCTCTTGACAAAGTTCTACTCCCGGATTTGGAGGCCTTGACAATAATCACTTCTTCACGGTCAATCGTCGAAGATGGCTTCCTCGCCTGCCTCCTAAGATGGTTCCAAACTGCAGAGGGAACTTTATTCCTAATAGTTCGAAGAGAGTCAACTGTCGTTACCATAAACGACCTCTTCTTAGCAATCTTCCCAACACACTGAGCTGCCAATACCGCCTACCGACGTATTACTGATGGATCCCCTAGTGCCCTGATCCAAGGATCGAACAGAGGAATGAACTCAAACTGCTTGATAAGTGGCAGGACTCAATCAACAATGGAAGGCAAGTTGTAGTTCACATTAACGGCGCTCCTGCCTCTGACAATTTCCAACAATAGAATCCCAAAATTGAAGACATTGCTCTTGGTACTAATATTCTTAAACACAACTCAAGCAACGATCCATTAGTCTCGATGACCTCGAAAATGAGTGTAGTCTTACTTCCCATTGCTTAAAAATGTCAAAACAGTGACCTGTTGGAACGTGTCTGAAGTAGATGGAAAAGGCAAAGGAGCGTTGATTTGGTGCGACCCCACATTCTTTCTTTTTGCCCCTAATACTAATAAAAATAACACTTATCATATAATAACTATAGCCTTTTTGAAAAAAAATATATATATCAAATAAGGGTAATGGCACTGTTGCTCTTCTACCTCTATATCCATGCGAACGGAATTTTTACGAGAAACTCATAGAGCTTTCTTAATCAGAAGAACCGGCGAATGCACTCTCAAAGCAGATACATACAAACCATTTATGTCTTGCACGCAAAAATAGGACAGATGGCAGAAAATCTAAGAACAACCCCAAATGAAAGAGAAATAGAGAAGTTTCTTGAAATTACTTACCTGCCACTCTTCGTATCCTTGCATGCTTTCAAAATCCAATTTCTTGATAGCAACAACCATTCTATTTCCACTCTTGGAAGGTAACAATGTCCTCTCTCATCAATCCAACCCTTGAAAACCCTCCCGAAGCCACCCTAGCCAAGCACAATTTTGGGTTTAAAAATTCTTCATTGCGGCATTTAGTTCTGCGAAAGTGAAAACCTTCAGGTGTGGGGTCGATAAGATTTACCCATCTGGATAATGCTTCACCGAGACTTCTGCTCGTCGAATACTGGTTAGTGCCAATGCTGGCACTACCTGAAAGTCCATGTCCATCGCTGTTGTTAAGCTTCAATGTCCCTGTGCAAAGACAAAAAACACATTACTCATGTGAAATTTTAGAGAATCGATGAATTACTTGACTGAAATCTTTACATTTTTATCAGAAAAAAAAAAGTAGAGCACTGAGAATTAGAACATTAAAGTTCTTCTTTGGCACAGAATAAGAAAATGGAAAAATTTCTGATTAATATCCTCTACTTTGAACCTAGTGACACTTTGATCCCCGAACTTTGAGATGCTACAATTCAGTATACGAACTTTTAAAATGTGTCAATTTAGTACCTGCCGTTAACCAGTTGTTAATCAATCGTTAAGTGGTGTTTGAAAAAGACACAAATGCCCTCAAGTGTCATCTAATTTTCTTTATCAACTATCCAAACATTGACAAAAAATTCAGTCTCAAATCATCACCTCTTCTATTTAAAAAAGTTGGGGTCACGAGAATGCCCACTGATACATGACCCCAACTTTCTTGAATAGAAGAGGCAAGGATTTGGGGCTATTAATTTTTTGTCAACATTTAGATGGTTTATAAAGAAAATTAGATGACACTTGAAGGTTAAAAGTTAGTTAACGGTAAGTACTGAATTGACATGTTTTGAAAGTTCCGGTACTGAATTGTTGCATTTTAAGGTTTGGGGACTAAAGTGTCACTAGATGCAAAATACAAGGTACTAATAAGGAATTTTCCCTAAGAAAATCAAGGAAGTGTCCCTATTTCTTTAGCAGCGAAGGAAGACTAGAAATAGTGTGCAGTGCCCTTATTTGATGTTTTTCAAAAAATTTATCATATTCTGATTATTATATGAAAATTGTTATTTTTATTGATATTAGGGGCAAAAAGCAATTACTGGACCTTAAGTCTGTCTTTGGTTTGAAAGAAAAGGTAGGGAAACTCATAAAACGTCCCCTTCTTTTTTCCTATGAATTCTTACTTAGGAATTAAATATATTTGGATCTATTTTAATAGGATTAGGGAAAATTCTCGATTAGTATCCTATACTTTGAGCCTAGTGCCACTTTGGTCCCCGAACTTTAAAACACAACAATTCAGTACCCTAACTTTCAAAACATGACAATCCATTTCTTGTCGTTAATCAGATGTTAACTTACTGTTAAGTGACATTTGAAAAAGACACAAATGCCCTTCAAGTGTCATTTAATTTTTTTTATCAACCATCTAAACGTTGACAAAAAATTAAGAGTCCCAAATCCTTGCCATTTTCATTCAAGAAAGTTGAGATCACCAGAATGCCCACACAAATGTGACCCCAACTTTCTTGAATGGAAGAGGCAAGGATTTGGGACTGTTAATTTTTTGTCAACGTTTAGATGGTTGATAAAGAAAATTAAATGACACTTGAAGGGCATTTTTGTATTTTTCAAATGTCACTTAATGGTAGGTTAACATCTGATTAACGGTAGGTATTGGATTTTCACGTTTTGAAAGTTCGGGTACTAAATTGTCGCATGTTAAAGTTCAAAGACCAAAGTGGCACTAGGCCCAAAGTACATGGTACTAATTGGGAATTTTCCCATAGGATTATAAAAAATAACTTTTTATTTAAAAAATCTAGAATAAATTATAAATAAAATTAATTTAACATGGGGAATGGGAAAACCAGTGTCCCCGTTGGTGGGGATGGGGATTTTTGCAAGTCGGGATGAGGAGTGGCTCCCCACCCCATCCCACCCAAATTCAGATATACAAGGTGTTTGGAAGCGTGGGTGCTTTTTGGGACCGATTTTTAAGAAAAAATGCTCATGCTTCCAAGACCCGTTTTTCACAAAAATAAAATAAAATAACGCTTCTGTCACGTAGGCGGTGAGCAATACTATGCTATTTGGTAAGGTGATTTTCATCACTGTTTTTCATATATGTATTGACAGGTAAGCACCACATAGGATACACATCATGCATTGGTGGGGTCCCGATTTCAAGGCATGCCCAATTTTTTAATAATCGGCTGAACCAAACAATAAGATACATGGGCGTAAACGCCCATATGGATCTGACGTGACACCATTTTTTTTAAAAACAGCCACGGTTTCAAACATCCCCATAATCCCAACACAGGTTCCAATGACCTATCCCAATAGTCATTGCAGCATCATCCACGCATAGGTAAATGAAATCTTATGAGAAACCAAACCTCCTTTAAGGGAAATAGTTAACCAATCAGAGAGAATTTCTTAATCCCCAAAGTCAATGACATCCCACTTTAATAGAGAACTTGTGCAGGCACCCAACTGGAATTTGGAAGACTTCATCCAATCTTTCATCTTGAAAACTTTTCAACATTATGGTCTGTTTGTTTGCAGTGCAAATTCATTTGCACTAGTATAAGAGCCGTGGAATGCAAAATTGCAAATGAAAAGAGTGCAGATTCTGGTTCAGTTTTGCTTTACATTTGAGCTTTAATCAGGATTTATTTCATTTTGAACCTAAGGCTAAGCTTGGAAGGAGTACAAATGCAAATATGTAGAGTGCAAAATCTTATATTTTGTATTATTTTGTATGTATTTACGTTGTACATATTTGCATTTGTACTACTTCTAAACTGAGCCTAAGGTTCCATTTTGAAGGAGTACAACTGTACAAATACAAATATGTAGAATGCAAAACCTTGTATTTTGGTTGCATTTGGAAACGATGCAAATAAGTGTGAATACAAATATGTAGACTGTAAAATGGTAGGAATGGCAATGGGGCGGGGCAGGGACGGGGAAACTCTCCCCATCCCCGTCCCCGCGAAAATCTCCATCCCCGCTAACGGGGACAAGTTTATCCCCATCCCCACGGGGATCTCCATTCCCCGTGATTTTTTATAATGTTAACCATTTTATTTTTGTTTTTTGTTTTATTTAAAAATATAAAATAAAATAATTAAAATTTATGATCCTATTAGAAAAGAGTCAAACATATTCAGCCATATTTTTAAAAATACTAATATATAAATGTATGATTACATATATACATATATAACGTATGCATACATATATACATATATATTAGTGGGGATCCCACGGGTAGGGGATCAGGGCCCCGTGGGGCGGGGAGTGCTCTCCCCATCCCCGTTAATGGGGATGAAAATTTTCTTTCCCGTCCCCACGGGGGAAATTCATCCCCATCCCCGCTCCATTCGAGGTGGATCCCCACGGGGATCGGGGAAATGGGGAAAATTGCCATCCCTATAAAACGGTCCATATAAATTGCAAAGTTGGGTTAGTTTTGTACTAACAAATTTACCTTCTTATTGTAGTGTAGGTAGGGTAAAGGCTACGTTGGGGAAGTGGTCTCTTTAAAAGATAGAGAAAGACTGAGGGTTAGAGGGGTTTGGATGTTAGGTTAGGGCATCAAGCTCGGGTGGTAGAGCTGGGAGTCGATGGCAAGGGTACTTGATTGCTGAATGACTTTCAATACGAGAAGGATCTCTATTTATGGGGAAGATCCCGACATCCTAAAAGGTAAGAGATAAAGGTGCTCGTCTCCTGTTAGGAAAGGGGACATTGTATTTGTTACCAATCATTAAGTGCACCACTGGAGTTTTGCCACGTGTCTCGTGGAGATCTTCCTGAGGATCAGCTTTCCTTTCACTCAAGAGCCCTCATTACTCACATGTGCTACCACCTCTTGTGTACCTTACTTAATTGACATGGCGCTAGTGACGTCACCGCCTAGTGGGCGACATCTTGTTAGCCCTACATGGCGCTTTGCCACGTTTGCCCCCTTTAATGTTACACCAACGGGTGGCGTCTGGGCACGGTTGTTTAACGGGTTGTGGCGTCATGCCGGTAGAGGGTTTATCGTAGGTCTGAGCATGTGCGGATCTCACCGTGGGTTCGGCCCAAGTTTGCCATGGTTCAAGCTGCGAGTGGGCTCATCGAGAGCGTGCGATGAACCACGGGTTTTATCATGGTTCTGTGATGCACACTATGGGTTCATCACAGGCCTGTGGTGCATCGCGGGTTCATTGCAGAAGGAAAGTTAATTGTAGGCTATTCGCATGCATCCACGTGGTATCAATACAGTGTTTAATGTTCTATAAGGGACTGAATGAACACTATATACTTACACTTACCAATCAGACTTTTAGATGTAATAAATGCAAACATGAATTTCAATAAAGCATATGCCTTTTTTTTATCAAAAGCCCACCTAATGCAAATTTACTTCTTTTCTTATTGATGTACTTTACATCTTACTATCAATGTAAATATGCATTGGAAAATGTGTTTTATGTCATTTTTCGGTGCAAATTTACCCTGAACCAGGATTTACACTCTATTTGCATCATTTCCAAACGCAACCTTTGTATTTATTTGTGGTGTACATATTTGTATTTGTATTGCTTTTAAGTTGAGCCTAAATAAATGATGCAAAGTAAAACCTAAGACAATAGCAAATTATATTTTGTCATTGACTCATTTGCAATTACATACTTTTGCACCGGTGCAAATGAAAATTGTATTTCAAGCCTTAGAGACTACCATGGCAATCTTTTTTAGGTAGCATAGATTATAACAAGGGCAAATTTCTTAAACCGATTTAGCTAATTGACTAAGTGTATTTGAAAATTGACGACAAAAAAGACTATTTTACCCTTTATTCTTCTTTAAATTTTCAAAATAAAAAAACTCTAAACCTGCTAAAGGTATGGGGTTAACTCAAAATTTACAACAGTAGCTAGAAAAACAAAGACGGTCTTTCAGAGCGCTCTCTCTCTCTCTCTGAAATGGACATTCTCAAGAACCTTATCGTTGGATGATGAATCGCAGTTGGCCGACAACCATCAGCATTCATTGGAGAATTCAGTCCCCATGATCGCCGGCCTCAATTGAATGGCTGAGGCTCATCGATCAGGTGACGAGCGGAGGGATGGAATGGAAAGACATTGTCTGTTATCTGCGGCTTGATCCCCGGCGTGGACTGGTCGGAGCTGAAGTCGAGCAGAAAGCTTTAAGCTTTCCTAGCCTTATCCACCTTTAGAAGCAATCCTTTCATCAGATCACCCAACAGCTGCATCAGAACTCATGGAACACCATTTCACCGGAAACAGGAAGAGGAACACAACCTCTCCGGAAATTGCAGGAGCTCAAAAAACCTCGTGATTGCTGGTTTCGGTAGTGGCACCCGTGGGACCCGCTCCTTAGCTGATAGCTGCTTCGTCGCCTGGAGAGATGGAGCAGCGGAATCAAATGGTTGAAAGGGTCCAAAGAGTTCAAAAAACCTTGCGACTACTGGTTTCGGTAGTGGCGCCCTCTCCTTAGCCGATAGCTGCTTCGTCGCCTAGAGGTTGATGAAGAGAAATCAGATGCATTTCCCAAGCGTACGGTGGATGCAGTTCCAGCTAAAAAGGCATCAAAGATAGAAGACATTATGGTCAGAAAACAGTGACCAGGGTTTGAGACATTGCCGTCGCTAGAGATTCGCTATAATTGTGGAGGCCATACTACGAAAAAAGCTACTGGGTTCAAAGCTAGGAACTCGGCAATAGTGTTAAGTGGCATGAGTTTGTAATTAAATTGTTGAATTGGGTTTAAAAATCAAAACCAAGGACGGTTTATTTCTTTCATCAGAATTTAGAGTGGTGACGACCGGTGAGATTTGGTGTAGTTTTTCCACCAAATCATTGTACACATCGTTCCACACATCTCACCATTTCTTCACAAGCATTGTTAAGAAGAAGAGAAACTCAATTAACAAAACATCAATCCACGAGCTATCGAGTAAGAAATGATTGAAAGAAGCTGCAAAAACACTTACCGTTGCACAACAATGAACGACCTTCACTTTGTCAAGCTCTGCGTTCTCAGGGTGACGCCACAACATTGCACAGAGGAATGGGCTTATAGATATCCCTGAAGAACACATTCCAGAATTCTTAACTCTGCAGACGGGGTTGGAGGAGTGACTTTCAGGGTTTTCAGGAGATCGTCGCAACTAGTTGGAGGAGTGACTTAGCTAATAGCTGCTTTGTTGCCTGGGCTCGGTTTGAGAAAATGAACAGGACTGGGCAGTGGGTTTTGCTAGGACTCAGCGGTGGGTTTTGAGAACTCGTGCTACAGTGGCGATGGCGGAACACCTTCAAAAAAATGGTGAGAAATCACCGATGACGAGGGGAAGGAGAGGAAGAAGAAGAAGAGGGTTCGGAGTCTTTGTTTTTCCAGGAAGAGAGAGCGCTCTGAATTCTTTTCAAACCCAGATAGTGCCGATGTCAGAGACGCTGTTCCGAACCAGCGAACCAGTCGTTATGTGGATGATCGTTTCGAACCTCTGGAAATGTTGACCGTCCATTTCCAACCGCGAGTAATAGATGCTGCTGCGGAGATGCCATGCTAGTGCCAGAGGGGATAATGAAATTTCCTTCGGAGCCGGTGTAGGTGCTGGTGTTGGAAGTTATAATAAAGGTAAGTTGGGATATTTTTGAAAGTTATAACAGTTTCCTGATACACATTTGAATGGTTTTACGCTTAATCAATTAACTAAACGATAAGAATAGTTTAAAAAATTTACAGTTATGAATAGCATCAATTCAAATTAATCTCTTTGCTCATTTTGCTATCATTCACTCAAAACCTCCACGTTGTGATTGTGCATTAAACCACCAACACCATGATGTAAGAGGGACATCCGAATTTAGAAGTAGCCACCTCAAATCGAAATCATATTTAAACTGTCGAGACTCTCAATGCGGAAAAGTTGTATATCAAGAATTTCAAATTACCCCAAACAATTAATTCTGATGGGGACTGATTTCAAATTACCCCAAACAATGAAATAACAAAATTATAAGTACACATGGTATCAGATATACCCTAATTCCTATCAATACTTTGAAATTAGCATCACTGATAGTAGGAGCGGGCCTGAACGGAATGTTCTGATTTGCAAAGAAAACTATGATTATTACCAACATACTCTCTAAATCTTTAGCACAAGACCCTTTTTGAGAATTGAGATGGATAAAGATAAATGTGATTGAGGATCTGCTCAAATGACCTAGTTTTCTGTAGGAAACGTCCTTTCCTTTCATCCAATAGCCCATATACTGTTGAATGTTCTGATTAAAAATCATATTAATGTTATTAATGTTGTGAAGAGTCGCCAAACCTTTTGGAGGGGGGAGGGGAGACTTGCACATGTACAAAGTACAAACGTTCAAGACTTGAACACAAAAATAGACACGACTTAAGTTATAAACCAAGAGCCTAAACCATTGCACTCTTTTACAACAAGTCTTTACACCTCTCATTCCTTTCCAATGTTGAACTCTCTTCATTCCATATACTAGAATACCAACAATTAAATTATTTATTATAATCTCTCATCACCAAATTTGGAGGCTACCCATAGAGCCTCTTCATCCAATTGCTCTATTCTGTGCTATGATGGAATAAATGATTATATAAACCTCCCGGACCCCTAACCCATCTATGAACGAACGATAACGAAAAAACAAAGTCTTTCGCTTTAACCACTTGTGTATAAAAGAAAAGACTTTAACATGAACCCTCATTCGTAGTATGAATGCTCTCTCTCTCTCTCTCTCTCTCTCTCTCTCGTGGTCTCCCATGATCCCATCTGTGAGCCTAGATGGATCCCAAACACCCAGAGACGCAGGAAGAGGAACGTCCCATGTCATGTCCCATCCCGGTGCCATTTTCCAAAATTTTAACATGTAATCATATCAAATAAATATCATAATTATTCTTCACCCATCAAAAGAGAAAGGACAAGGCATTTCCTTTCTGGAGTTTCGATATGTAAATCATGAGATATAATTCCGGGCAATTTGGATTTGGGGGATCCAAGATTATGTGCTTAACTTGAAATTAAAGGCCAATCAGGAATATCAATACCCTACGGGTGCATAATATCCTATCTTATTCATGTAAGCTTGTTAAGGTTGAAGCTAAGTCCTTTACTCAGATTTTAAGTAGGAAAAACAAAGTTATCAGTTTTCACTCTTCATCTGTGCCTGAGCCTTCAGAACTCGAGCCGCTTCCTTCCCCATGTGCAACACCATTGCTCAAAGCACCAGTCTTCTTTGTATCTTGTCCATCCTCATCATCTTCACTATACTCACTCTCATAATCGTCGTAGCCATCTTCTTCATCATCCTCTTCCATCTCCAGTCCATCCTCCACAGTAGGTCCCTCTTCTGTCGTGAGACCACCCCTTGTCCCAGCTCGGCTTCGTTTCAAAACTTTTAACTTCAAATTTGTCTTCTTGTCACAACCAATCCATGAGTCACACAAGCAGTAGGAAGTCAAATTGTAATTTCCCTCCGCAGGGGCCTGGAATTTACCCATCACCAATCTCGACCCATTCCTCACTTTCTCAACTGCTTCACTAACTGCAGCGTTTATCTCCTTCACGCTAGCCCCTGATCCCTCCTTTGCTTCTTGAATGGCCTTTGATGCTGCTGTAATAGCTGTGGCTTCATCCATGAAACTAACCTTCTGGGACATCCATACTTCATTTGAGCCAGAGTCTGCAAGAAGCAACCAGTAGTTCTCTTCTTTGTGAAATGGGAAGTAAGGAGCATGGGGAAGTGCACCGACAAGGCCATTATTGCGCTTGAGTGTGACCCAAGCATGCATGGTAACAATATCGCCTTCTTGTATGCCCTCTTCGCCTTCTGTTTCACATGTAATTTCAATTGTTATGTAAGGCATCATTTCAAGGACTACTTCCACATCTTGTGCTTCAGCAGCAGAAAACCCGGCAGCTTGAGTCAGCAGGTCAGCACGTTCCTGTGGACTCATATCCCTTAGCTCTTGAAATGTACGCACTTTCTGCAAATGCCAAAAAAAATGAAGAAATCAAATACATGTTTAGTGGGGAAACAATAATGAGGTAAAAGAAAGCCGAGACTCTGAACTGACCTGCAGGCCATGGATGTCAAATAAACTCTTTTCTAATGACAGTCTGTGGTTTAAGCAGTTGGGATTTGTATTGGGGAAAGTGGCTAAACTGAATGAATTATTGCTTTGTTTTTTAGTGGATAAAATAACTAAACAATAGAACATTTGAGGTTTATAGTAATCAACCTAATTTCAGCTTCAGCCATTAAGAAGCTCACAACCTCAATAATATATTCACTAAAAACAAAGCAATAAGTCAGTCAATTCAGCATTTCAGCTATTAATGGTTTAGCCAAAACCCAAAGTTTTTTTGGTACAGCTTAGGCAGGGCCACAGGGATAGATGTTCACTAATTTGTTTTCTGATAACACTTTGTGGTCTAAGTTAAGCAGTTGGAATTTGAATTAGCCAAAACCCCAAGTTCGGTCAGTAAACTAGATAACGCTGGTTTATAAAACAAGTACTACCATTCTAGAAGTAGTGCACCTTTTTGCATCACAGACTGCAGGTTTCAATGCCCAGCCATCCCCTTCTTGGTCAATCACATTTTCCCCTAATTCAGTGCTTTAGAAGCATATATTTGTACAAATACAGATGAGAGAACAAAGTGGCACAAGACAAAACACATGCACAGATGGCTACCAGTTTTCTCCCCTAATATCAGGTATGATTTGAATTCCGGTAACTCCATAAAATTTTGGGAAC